ATAGCTGAATTCTTGCACAAGTTTAATGCACTAGAATTAGGTAAGAGGAAGCAAGATTGTGCCACGGTTTTAGAATTTGCTGAAGCCTTTTAGTTCACTTTTTACCTAAAATTGTGTAAATTTTATCACAAGGCAATTGTGATAAAAGATGAGGCTAGGATTATTAAAGTATATTAGACTTTGATAAAGAACTACTTAAATAAGCAGGATTGCCAAGTAACCCCCTTCTGTGTTGGCTATAAATAGATAAGTTTAGGAAATGATGTCAGAGAACCCCTAAAGACTTGGTCTCTGTATGTGTAGGAAGATGAAGACAGGGACAGGAAGGTATATGGTTGAAGGGTACCAGGCAAGGTCTGGTTCACTAGGGAGATGGAGAAGATTCTTTGTCAAAGTTCAGAGTTCCACTATTTCTGCCTGTAGCAAGCTTTCTCGATGGACTAGCTTTGGACTGCCAGCCCCCAAATAATGACATGGAGATTTATTATTAATTATGAAAGCTTGATCTTATCTTAGGCTTTTCCCCAACTAGCACTTGTAATTCAAATTCACCTGCTTCTAACAACCTACCTTCTATCATGTGTCTCCTCTGTGCTGAATGTCTGACTCGTTTCGTGTCTTCCTGGTGTCTTCGCCTTATTTGTTCCCTCTCTCCCCGGAAATCCTGACTATTTTCTCCTGCCTAGCTGTTGGCCATTCAGCTCAACCAATCACAGTAAAACATCTTTACACAGGGTACACAAATATTCTACAACATCTGCCTCTCATGTACTTTTCTCTTTGTTGATATGTGTGTATTTACATGAGCATCATCCTACTCATTTCTTAGATAACAGCTTGCCTCTAGAGGCAGAAATATTTATAAGCATTTTGTGTAAGTTTTTTTGTTTCCTTAGGCAACCTGTGGGTTGCGACCTCTTTACAGTTTGACAGGGGTTGCCTAAGAGCATGGGATACTTACATTATGATTCATAACAGCAGCAAAATTACAGTTATAAAATAGCAATGAAAATAATTTTATGTGTCACCACATCATGAGGAATTGTATTCAGGGTTGCAACATTAGGAAGGTTGAGAACCATTGCCTTAGGGTATCACCTTTCTTGGCCCAATTTCTATGACATTTTACAATAAGCATCTACTAGTTAGAGTTGTGTGATTGAAGTATATGACATAAAGATAATTGCTTTGCATTTTCATAATTCTGTGCTTGATTACTTAGCACCAACTGGGTAATAATTGCTTAATTCTCTTGATGGAGAAAAGGATATTATTTGGAAATAGTTGACTTTGCAAGAAAAAAATTGAGTAGATTCTGGAAATTATTAGAATTCTCATCTTGTTTAATGCAATGCATATTTTCAGATTAAAATATCATAAATTTAACACAAATAACTATATGTATGATTGCATAATTTACATTCTAACTATACATGACTAGTTTTTTGCATATATAGTATTTTTTTGTAGTGGAAAAAATGTAAGTAATAAAAGAAAAGGCTTCAAAATTAGATCCTCAGGATGTGAACATCTGTAATCACACATATAAAGACAACCACATGAATATTCTGCATTACAGTGTTCACTGAATTAGCCTCTCAAGAAAAACAACTCAGTCTAATTACTTCCTAGTCTACATGATTATGATGTTTATAGTTTTTAGATGTTGTTAGTAGATGCCAGTCTTTCAGGGAATGATAACGATAACTAAAATCAGTGTCAAAAACTGTGAGTAAAGTTGATAACTTTCAGTAAAATTAAGCTTCCCTTGGGCAAATTAAAAACCAAGGCATATGAGTCTTTAGGTTCATCAAATATGTAAGTTTTTCAATTTACTCAGACTTTAAGGAGAAAACTTGCTTCTCATGTATCATTTTAATTAATTAATTTTTGTGTGAATGTGTATATTCACATGCATGCTGTGATGTGTATATGTAGGTTAGAGGACAACTTGGACAAAGTTGGTTCTTTCCTTCAGCTATGTGGGTCCCAGGAATCAAATTCACATTGTCAAGCTTAGGGGTATGCATCTTTACCTATTAAGAAATCTCACTACCTCCCTTTATGTATCATTTAGATAGAGATATTTTTAGTAATGTGTGGAAATAAATGATGTGCATTTTAAGAGGCAGGTATGGATAAAGGTATTGTACTTAAGGTGGTATAGTATTGGCAAAAGAGTAGAAAAATAGATTGAAGTAGAAAAATTCAGTTGAACAGAATATGTTATCCAGAAATAGATCCCCTTAGAGTCTATATAATTTGATCTTCAACCAAAGAGCAAAGACTATACAATAGGAAAATATTTTCAATTATTAGTGCTAGAATAACTGCATATCCCCCGTAGAACAACTGCAAAATGTGACTAAACACAGACCTTTCACTCTTTATAAAGATGAACTCAAAATTGATAACAAACATAATGGAAAGAATGAAATGGTATAAGTGCTGAAAGATAGTATGGGAGAATCTCAAGGGTCTGAGGTTTGGTAATGGGTTTGTATGTGTAATATCACAAAAAAGAATTGATAATCTCAGTTTTCTTTCAATTAAAGTTTTATGTGCCAAGATACTATATGGTACACTTTAAGTATACTAGTTAAAATCCAGAACATTGACAACCCCAAATGCTGGTGGGGATACAGAGAAAGAGCTGCATCCTCATTCATTGTTGGTGGAAATGCAAAATGAGATCCCCACTGTGGATGACAGTTTTGCAGTCTCATACAAACTCAAAATATTTTTACCATGTGACTCAGCAATCACCACATTTGTATTCCTTCCAAAGGAGTTGAAAAGTTAATGTCTACATAAAAGCCTGCATATGGGTATTTGTAGCAGGAGTATTCATAATTGCAATGACTTAGAAACAACCAAATTATGCTTCAGTTGGTAAGTGAATAAACTAGCATGAAATATTATTCTTCACTAAAAATAAGTGAGCTGTCAAGCTCACTTGATATCTATATAGTGTAAAAAACTTAACTAAAATTCAGTGAAAGAAACTAATCTGAAAGGCCCACATAATATGTGATTCCAATCATATGACTTTCTGGAAAACATGAAAACTATGAAGACAGTAAAAAGATCAGTTCAGAGGATGGAAGGATGGCTGTACAGAGAATTGATGATTTTTTAGGGCAGCCTGACACATGTATTATATATTTACCCAAATCTGTAGGATGTACAAGAGTAAAGCCTAATGTAAACTGCACTTTCAGTGATAGTGATGTGTCTATATAGCTTTATCAATTATGATGTATACAATACTCTGCTTGATGATAAAGTAATGATTGAGGCTGGGCATGTGTGTGGGTTCTGTTCAATTTTGCTACGAACCTAAGGCTTCTGTAAAGTAAATAAAAACATGCTATGACAGTTTTTTAATTTTTGGTTTTTTGAGACAGGGTCTCTCTGTGTAGCTTTGTGCCTTTCCTGGAACTCACTCTGTAACCCAGGCTGGCCTTGAACTCACAGAAATCCGCCTGCCTCTGCCTCCTGAGTGCTGGGATTAAAGGCGTGTGCCACCACCACCCAGCTTAAGACAGTTTTTTCAAAAGAAGAATCAACATGAAAGGTATCATGATTCCCATTTTATGGATGAGAAAATTGAAGACGGGGAGGTTGCCATTTTCCCAGTGTAAGTGATAAGGCAAAAGTCAAACCAAGAGCCAGACTCATGGTTCCTAATTCATAGCCCTTCTTCCATTCCTCTTCATGCTGATGGGTGCAGGTGGTAGCATCCTGTAATAAGTGATTGTATTTCTGTTTTAACCACACTCTGTACCCATAACTCTAAGTGGTTGTATATTTATTAGATAATAGAACTCAAGGCTGACTGTATACTAATCTGAAACATTATCCGATGCTCCAGTGAAATGGGCCACATCCTGTGTCCTCAAACTGCCACTGTTTATAAGTGCTGGATCCACCCATTTTCCATAAGCCATTTTGAGAAATAAACACCTGGAATTGAGACATCTCTGAATGTTAAAACTTTTCAGTTCAAGGCAGGCTGACTCCTAGTAAGAAGCAAGATTTGTCCCTTTTTCAGCATTTTAAGAATGAAACCAACTGCACTCCTATGGTCAGCATCTAAAACAGTCTCTGGTGGAGCAAACATCTTGAGTAATTTATTATTGAGTGCCTTCTGTTTGTGTGCCTACTGCTGGAATGTGCTGAGGGACATCAAGAGGATATAGCACAGCCTGGAGGTAGGGCTCAGCAGTTAAAAACACTTACTGCTCTATTAGAGGACCCGAGTTCAGATCCCATCGCCCTCATCAGGTGGCTTTCGAGTACCTGCAAGTCCAGCTTCCAAGGATCTGATGCCTCCTTCTGGCCTCTGTTGGAACCACCAAACAGGCATACACATAAATAAAGTAAAATAAGTATTTTTAAGATGGGAAGAGGAAATGCTAGACACAGTCTTGACTCTGCAGAAGCTGCTAGACCAACTGACAAAACAAAACACATTATGTAAAGGGCTCTTCATATTCTCATTGACCGAGATTGGCATCAGGAATGAGTTGAAGTCTGAGTCGCCTCTGAAGCAAACCCAGAGGCGTCGAGGCATGCATTTGAAGGGAATGTGTAACAAGCATGAGAGGAAACTGAGGCTTGGGAGGTGATGAGACAAAAATCACAGTAGGTGACTGCAAGTGAAAGCCTATGGGAAATAGCAGAGAACACATTCTTCACACTTACTCTACAGAGAAGGTGAGCAAACTAGCTCTTACTGGGGCTAGACCTGAGTTATTAAGGGGTTCACCCGTGGATCTTAATTCCCTTGTGCTTCAGCCTAACAGGAATGTGTGTACAGCAGCCTTCTGTAATTCTGGAAAAAGTCCTCAGGCAGTCTCTGATATCAACAGATGGAAGGTAGCCTGCATATGTAATACAGAGGAATTCATTCCTGTGAGTGGGAGATGGCAGAACATTGGCCATAGGATTCCTGGTGGAGGTGAGATTTGACAGTGCTCTTTCTCTTCTCTCTTCAGGCGTCATCATGACCTTGTCCCTGTTGTCCATTGTGTATGGAGCCTTACGTTGCAACATCTTAGCCATCAAAATCAAGTACGATGAGTATGAGGTCAAAGTCAAACCCCTGGCCTATATCTGTATCTTCCTATGGAGAAGCTTTGAGATTGCCACTCGGGTCATCGTCCTGGTCCTCTTTACCTCTGTCCTGAAGATCTGGGTGGTGGCAGTCATACTTGTCAACTTCTTCAGCTTCTTCTTATACCCTTGGATCCTTTTCTGGTACAGTGGTTCCCCATTCCCCGAGAACATTGAGAAGGCCCTGAGCAGGGTGGGTACCACCATCGTACTATGTTTCTTCACTTTACTCTATGCTGGTATCAACATGTTCTGCTGGTCAGCTGTACAGCTCAAAATCGACAGTCCTGACCTCATCAGCAAATCTCAGAATTGGTACAGGCTGCTGATTTACTACATGATGAGATTCATCGAGAACTCTGTCCTCCTGCTCCTGTGGTATTTTTTCAAAACTGACATATACATGTATGTGTGTGCGCCTCTGTTGATTCTGCAGCTACTGATTGCATACTGCACGGGCATTCTTTTCATGCTTGTGTTTTATCAGTTTTTTCACCCTTGCAAAAAGCTCTTCTCCTCCAGTGTTTCTGAGAGCTTTAGGTCATGTCTCAGGTGTGTCTGCTGGTCCCGGGTGAGAAGAAAATCCACTGAGATAGTAGTAAAGGCAGATACAGACTTAAAGTCACGCACAGATCAAGACCAAGATCATAATCAAGATGTAACACCTTCTACCAGTATGTTAAGTCCTGAGCCCACTGAGACGTGGAGTGCTGTTGATCTGTGCTCTGCTTAATGGAATCTGGGGCTTCTTATGAGAAAGGGATATTGTGTTCTGGGTTAATAACTATTCTTCATACACGTAATGAGCCCTGCACAGGGAATACGGCAGGAAATTAGCTGTCAACTCCTTGTGAGCTGCTGCCTTTTCTAGAGCCGTTTGATTGGAGCCAGCTGTGGAGAGCACTAGGGAAGCCTGCTAGCCCACAGTTGGTCTCCCAGTTGACTGGGTTAGGTTCTTGCAGAGGCCTTACTGGCCATTTCATTGACACAGCATTCCTGAGGTTTCAGTTGAGCTGGTCATGTTCGTCGGATATAATGAAGAGAAATGCTTGTTTTCTACACTGTTGTCCCAGTAGCCTGATGCTTTACTACTACTGAATATAGCTTTATACAAAGGTCACCGTGATAGTTGGAATAGGTTCCTAGGAATTTTACAACCTCATTCTTATCGTAGCTTACAGGGAGAGCTGTTTGAGTTTGTTTTATCAGTATGTTTCATTTTCACCTCATTAAGACTTTTTGTACATAACCAGCTGTAGCCACTCCGGCATGCCATCTTCATTGGTTTTAAGGGCCTAGATGTGGGGACTTGATTCCCGAGGAATTTAGGAAAGCTGAGTTTCATTCCATATGTGGAAGAAATTAGGGATCAGGATGGACTGGGACAGTTGTTAAAAACGTCAAAATGATGGGAGTTTATACAGATAAAACTGTTAACTTCTCCAAATGTCTGCAGATATGAATTGGTTAGAAGGTAGGCTCAATTCTCCTCATAACTCAGTCCTGTCCTATAAATCTGGGAAATTTCTAGAAGAATTTGCTAAAATTAATATATAAAACCAATAGTTTTCATTCCTATCACCTCCTTCCTCATCTGCCAGGAAGTTTTTGTTTTTTTTGTTTTTTGTTTTTTTTTTTAACAAAATTGAACTTAGTTCATTTGCTGTTGTTTCTAGAAAACCCTATAGAAATCTTTTCCCCAATTCAAGCATATATGACATCTTAGTTTTCATGATTTGAAGAAAGAAGTGTTTTCCTTGTTACCACCCCTAGTTAGAAAAGTTTTAAGTTATAGAAAGTCGTGAGATGAACAGATGTTCTTCATGAAATGCATTTTGACTTGACGTAATTGTGAATTCATTTTAATAAGATCTTCATTTTTATCTGCTGTGAAATTTCTCTTTAATCTGCAACTATTTATTTTCCTTTGAAAGGGTCGGGTAGAATATTATCACTAGTCTGATGAAAATGCCTGTAACCAGTGCTAGTATTTCTAGCACTAAAATTTGGATAATGAAATGTCTAGAAACAGATGACCATAAAGTTTACACCAATTTTAAATGCGAGTTGTAGCAAAATTTAAGAAAATTTCAAAGGTACCTCTGTTTATGGCTTCTATGAGATAGAGCAGACATTTACTTTTCTGGCCACATAAATTAGTAAAACTCATTTATCTGGCTGTTATACTAGTAATGATTTGCTTTTTAAACTCTTTTTGGTATCAAATTGATGAGTAATTTCATAAACATGAAAATTAATTTGGTAAATAAATTTCACTATACTAGAGGCTTTGTAAAACAGCAAATATTCTTTGACATGTCATTCACACTGCTAATATTTATGCCATTTTATTATGCATATGCAGTAAGGTCCTAAAATGTAGAATGGCCATTTTACTTTCATGAGGTATTTTTCCCCATTTGTAACTCACCTGGTTTGTCAGTGTTTGTAGTTTAATTTTATGAGAATCCACAGGTAGTACATCCATTTTGACTACTTTTAACATATAAAAATGAAACTTAAGGTTGTCTATTCTCTGTTGACCCACGTACCACTTTTCCTGTTTTTAATAGGACAAGATAAAGTTAGCATACATCATCAAAATGATGCTTTATACAATAGATATTTCTCTGTACTTTGTATATTAAAATATTAAGAGCCACAAAACTGTAATACAGGGGGAAATGTCTTTGAAAATATATAACAACTGCAGGTAAACCAAAGCTAAGATGTTAAAGCACTCTTGTTTTGGTTATTTCATAATTTAAAGTGTTCAGAATGAATAATAGAGTAGGCAGTCTGTTCCTACGTCATTCCAAAATGCTTTCCTCTGTCAGATCCTTCATTCTGTTTACAGACACCATATGTTTTCACTCTTTCAAGTGAAAGACCATCTTTCCTTGAAGATTCACAGTGACTAGGGAGTAGAGGTGATGATATTGTTTTCCAATTTCGGGTTCTGCCTTGGGACTGGGACTAGAGTCAACTACCAGCTTGTCACTTACTAGGCAGATTCAGAATTAGACAAGGGTAAGGACACTTGTATTTTCCCAGCCTGCTTTGGAAACATGACCCAAAATATTTTTAAACTCTTAATTTTCAAATATATTGTAAGCCCCTTTACTTTAAACAGTTGGTAAACATCTTGAATGACCTCAAACAAAACTAACAGTGATAAACTAACAGACATGGAAGGCCCAATTCAAACTTTATAAAGACTGATTTTTCTTTTTTAGCAAATTAGATATTATTTCAGTCTCTTGGCATATAGGCATTTTCCCAGGAGCTTACTTAATTACTCTATATCTCAGCTTCCTCACTCACCAAATTAAGATGATATACTTGACCAACTTACCTCACAAATCTGTTGGAAAGATTTCATTAAGTAATAGATATAAAAATATTTTTAAAATATTTTCAAAATACCTTTTAAAGAGTTGTTATAGTATTCAAGACCATAAACAGGTTATTGTTTGTGTTTTGTTTTGTTATTTACTGTCTGAAATGAAATAAGTAGTTTCATCCACATCAGTGTCTTGAGTGAACATATGGGTCTTTGGTCTTCTCTGCACTTACCCTCTCTTACCACCAGCTGATTACAAAATTTCGTGCTCAGGGCATGTGAGATGGCTCAGCTGGGAAAGGTGCTTGCCGCCAAGCGCAGCACCCTGACTTCCATCCTTGGGATCTACAGGGTGGAAGGAGAGAAACACTTTCCACCAGTTATTGTCTGCTTTCCACAAGCACACCCTGTTGTAAACACACAGAATCTCTCTCTTACACACACACACACACACAGACACACACACACACAGACACACACACACAGACACACACACACAGACACACACACACACACACACACACACACATGCACGCACGCACAATGCAATAAATATTTTAAAAATAGCCCCAAGCCCTTAGTACTTGGCAGAAAAAAAAAAACCCAGTGGATCTGAGAAAGAGCTTCTGATGGGAAAGAAGTTTATTGTCTTGATATATTTCATAAAGAATCTTTTGATGATTGTACAGTACAACTTGAATGGCTTGTTCAAAGCATTAATTAAATGTGAATGTAATTCATTGTAGTAAATGGGAAAATAAGCATTAGCATTAATTGTCTTGACAACACAGCATTTCCTTGGGATCTCTCTTACAACATTTAGTATGGTTGTATGTGCCAGTACATCTCAGCTAATGAATTGTGGATATGAACTTTTGTGGACTGCTTCTCTGAGTCACTGGCTCAAATATTGTTTATGTTTCTTCATGTAATAAATTAATTTTTTTCAGTTTTTCTTGCATTTTATTTCTTCTATAGTCCTCAAATGACTTCTTTTAAAATTTAAGACCCATTTGAAAGATAAATTTGAAAATGATTTGTTGTGATTATATATTTTTAATGTAAGATTGAAATTCCTGCCATAGCATGAAAAATTTAAGAATGCTAAGACTGAGCCTTACAATACAACAGCTGTCCATGAAAACACTGCTTTTTGTGCAAGAATTTGCTCAGTTTATTGAAGCCATGCTGCTGGGTACTGCTACTAAGATTCTGCTGAATTGTCTCAGTTGTTGTATATGACACAAAGACAAATGTACTATATATATGATAAACATATGACATTTATGTATCATATATATATATATATGAAAATTCTAGATAAACATGAGTGTTATGGTGATCCATAAATATAAAATATGAAGATGCTTTAGCTTTTTGTGACCATTTTCTAAACATTATATGTTTATATAATCAAAATGAATTGCTTCTGTGATTTGAAAAACACGTTGAAAGGGGTCTTTGGAGAACATGAGCTAGATATGGGTTGTTTTTAAATACTTCCTTTGCTTCTGAAGGTGTCGTTTCAGTTTGCAAAGATCTAGCTATAGTATGTCTTTTAAAAACTAGCTTTATTGAAGTATAATTGCTGCACAAAAAACACATATTAAATGTGTACAGTTTAATGAGTTTAGACATTTGCAAACACTCATGATATTATCACCACAAGCAAGATGCCACACCTCAAAAAGCTTCATTGTGTTTCATTTTTATTACTTATTTTTCTTTTTTGGAAGAACACAACATGAAAACTACCCTCTTAAAGTTCATAATACTCTTAGCAAATTTATGCACTATGTCGTGTAGCAGATCTCTAGAATTTACACAGTACAAAGTTGAACTTTCATACCCATCTAACAACAATGGTTTGCCCCCTAGCCACTGACAGCCACTGTCTCTCTGTGTCTATGAGTTTGATTATTTTAGATACCTCATGTAAGTATAGATACAAAGTATTTGTTCTTCTGTGTCTGGCTTATTTTGATTAATATAATGTCCTCCAGATTTATTTGTGTTGATAGAAATAGCAGCTTCCTTCTTTGGACGTTGTTTAATATTCCATTGCATGTATATACTATGTTTTCTTTATTAATTTCGATTCTTTCCCTATTGTGGCTGTTGGGAATGCTATTGTAAGGACCATGGAAGTGCAGTTGTCTTTTGAACATCTTGATTTTATTTATTTTGGCTACATTCCCAGAAGGATCATATGGTATTTTTTTTTAATTTTGGGGCCTAGGGTGACTGACTGTCCTCTATGCCAAGAAGCTACCATCTCATCACAGTCAGCTGTGCCCCTTGGAAAAACAAGCTGGGCTGGGACAGTTTGCACCCCCTGCCTCCAGCACCAACTGAGTATGCAACTGCTCCCTAGCAACTGGCAACTTCGCTTGTGGCCTGGGGGAGGGACTAGAGTATAGGTGTATATATCTATACTCGCACATTGTGTATGTGTTTGGGAGAAGACTAAAGCAGGGCTCCATATATGCAGTTAAGGGGAAGCCCTCATCCATTCTGGTAAGGCCTTCCAGGTGCAGCAGGGGGAGGGAGGAGCGGCCACACCCTCTCACTAACCCCCACCTCTGCTCTGTACACGACCAACGTGAAACAAGCTCAGTGGTATTTTTGGAAATGTTTTTTTGGTCTTATATTGCTTTGTTTGCGTATTTTGTTTTTGTCTTACTGTTTTTTGCTTGCATATTATGGCTTCCAATTTTGTGTTTTTATAGGTTCTGGTTGTGTGTGTGTGTGTGTGTGTGTGTGTGTGTGTGTGTGTGTGTTTCTTGTGTTCTTTTTTAATTCTGTTTTTGTTTGTTTGCCTGTTTTTTTTTCTAAAGAGAAAGAAAGAAAGGGAATGGAGTTGGAAGGTTGGGGAGATGGGGAAGATCTGGGAGGTAGTTGTGGGAAAGAATCTGTGATCAGAATATATTGTATGAAAACAGATTTGTTTTCAATAAAAATATGATTTTTATAAAAAGACTAGGAATGAGGTGATGGGAGTAGATATTCCTCTATGACCATATTCCTCTGTCTCCCTCTTACAGAAGATGAGTTTTTTTCTAAGTAACAAAAGTTATACGGACCACTGAATGTGTTGAGACACATCTTTAATCTCAGCACTCGAGGTAATGGCAAGCTCTGCTCTACATAGCGAGTCCCAGGCTAGCCAGGGATGCATAGTGAGACAAAATCTTATACATACTTATGGGGAGATGTGTGGCATTTTAATATATGTATCCATTGTGTAATGTTCGTATCAGAAATAAGCAGGTCTATCTCCTCAAACAGTTGTCATTTCCCTATGGGGAAAGCATTCATAATCTTTTTTTTCCAAGCTATTTTGTAATGCACAGTATAATGTCACCATCTGTAGTCATCTGTGCAATAGAGTACCAGGACTTAACTTCTCATATCTAACTATAAATTAAGGGGATATATATTTTATGAATGTCTTTGCAACTGAAAAAGCACTCAGACATGCCAATTATACGTTTTAATTAAATGAATAACGTTCTCAGCAGTTCTCTTTTTCAGGAAAAGATCCTTCATAGCAGCAAAACATGGTATGTAAGTGCACATCCAGAGACTTTTAACCCCTTCTTTCCTGGTATACAACAAACCCTGGCAGATGAGGTCCCTGTTGTGCTAAGATGGTGAGGTTTTTGCAGAGCCACCCTCTAGACCACCGGTGTGTCCAATCTGCTCATCACATACAGCAAAGATACCCATGCAGGAGGCCCAACACAAAAATCACCAAATTCCTTAAAGCATTATCAGGTTTTTTTTGTTTTTTGTTTTTTTTTTCAATCTTTTAAAATCAATTGCAGCCGGGCGGTGGTGGCGCACGCCTTTAATCCCAGCACTCGGGAGGCAGAGCCAGGCGGATCTCTGTGAGTTCGAGGCCAGCCTGGGCTACCAAGTGAGCTCCAGGAAAGGCGCAAAGCTACACAGAGAAACCCTGTCTCGAAAAACCAAAAAAAAAATAAAAATAAAAAATAAAATAAAATCAATTGCATGGCTCTCAAGCGTGAACTTTGTAGATGACAGCGTTCTTTTATGTCAAGAGGTTGGGCACACCTGCTGGGAAATGCCTTTCCTTAATAGCTCATTATGTTTTCTATGCAAATTGTTAGGTTCCCAGCAGTGTTGGTTTGAGCAGCATTTGGAACATCTTTGAGGCATGTACAACAGCAGCATCTCGGCAGCAGATGATGAGAAAACTTTCCGCAGTGACTATAGCATGGCAACACTTCGTGCAGGGGAGGAATTTCAGGGTTTGCTGCTGCCCTCCAAAGAAAATATTTGTGGAGACAGATTTGACAATTCTGGGTGTGCTTTTCCTCCCTCTCTCCCTCCCCTTCTGAATTCATTTTCTCTTCCAGTGATGAGTTTCTGATTGAAACCTGATTAGCCTGCTTCCTAGAATCCTGGTAATACCATCCTCTTTATATATCTGCATTATGCATACTGGTTTAATTTCTTATCAGTTTGCTTCTGATCTTAATTACCTCAAGTCTACAGTTAATGAGTCAGTTTTAGGAGTGATAGCACTCAAGAAACAAAACAGGAAGTAAGATTTCTATTTTAGAGCAGTGTTTCAAGACCATCCCCCACTACCACCACCATAGCACTGAGAAGGACACTCTGTTGTTACCTTCTCCTCCCAAGAGGACTTTCTTAAATGGAGTGGCAGAATTGCTGTTCTCTCTAGTAACTAGAAGTATCAAGCACACACTTGTACAATTATTTTCAAACCTATGGGGATGCTGTTGTGAGTAACAGCAGTCACTGTAGTCAGAGTAACCATCATAGTCCTCCCAGCCTACACCACAAACAAGAATTAAACGTTGAAAATGGAACCACTATCATGTCAGGTAAGAGATGGTGCAGTTGTTGGGAGCAGTGATTGCTCTTCCAGAGGACCCGGGTTCAATTCCAATGCCCATATGGTTGCAACTTCAGTTCCAGGGAATCTGACACCTTTACAGATGTACATGCAGGCAAAACACATTTAAAAATGCACATAAAATAAAAATATTATGTAAAAAAGACAGTCACTGTGATCGAAACTACAGGACTACTATTTTATGAGGAGTTTCTCTGTTGGGCTAGTTTTTCTGTCTACTAGAGCTCCCATTGTGGAAACACAGTTTGGTTAAGGGGCTGTATAGCCATATTTTAGTATTAGCTCACAGGCCCCCAGATAATTCACTACCCACCTAGACCACCAGTCTCTCCCTTCAGTGTCCCTAAGAACAAAAATCTATTGCAAGAGAGAGGCAAAATGTTTGTTTCCTCTAAACTCCATGTGGACCTCTAGTTAGCTGCTTTGACACGTGTGGGAAGGTTCTTCCCCACACTGTACAAAGATTCAAGAAGTTTAAGTGTTTAAAAGGATATATAACCTGCACTTATATTTCTTAAAAGTATTTCATGTATGTATTTCTTCTGTTAATATTTGGACTTATAAGCTCAGTGGGGTAAAGGGTTCAGCCACTTCTACCAGAGGGCAAATCTTTCGGAGTTCTAATGTAGCCTAATCCTGGACTTCAAATCTGACCTTGACTCTGAACTTCTCTTGATTAAAGTGTGGATAGGGTCCAGGAATGGCAGGAGTGATACCATGATCATAAGATGGTATCCCAAGGGTGCTGTGGATATTGCTCTGTATAAATAAACTGCTGATTGGCCAGTAGCCAGACAGGAAGTATAGACGGGACAAGCAGAGAAGAGAATTCTGGAAACAGGAAGGCTGAGTCAAGAGTCGCTGCCAGCCACCACCATGAGTACCAACATGTAAGATACTGGTAAGCCACAAGCCATTTGGCAAGGTGTAGATTTATAGAAATTGGTTAATTTAAGATGTAAGAACTAGATTGCTAGAAGCCTGAGCCATTAGGCCAAACAGTTTAGATAATATAAGAGTCTGTGTGTTTATTTTATAAGTGGGCT